TTGTTATTATCTCATGAACTTTCCCAACAGGTTTATTACTTCCATTCATATGTAAATGATATGCAAATTAGTTGATATTTTGTTGTTGTCATCATTTATAGTGTAGTCATCTCCTAACACTTGGTGACTCAGATTTGCCGCCGTCTAATATTCCGATTGTTGTACATTTACCGAACTGTAAAGATGATATAATATCTGCACGTAAGTATGGTCATTGTTTTATATGTGTGTCAGTCTAAATATAGGATTTGTCACTAAGATTCCAAGAATAGCTACAAACTTGAAAAAAATGCTTGGATATGAACATTTTATTTTTCAAATATTTTTGTACCATGCTACAGTTCCTTAATGTCACTGTTGTCTTTCCTGTCTTTTTTATGTGCAAATTGCATATATGAGAACTGACATATAGTGCATATCTCAGTTTGGGACTGCATGATAGGGCTATGTTACTGTCTTCCTATCAAATGTCATTATGGCAATTGAATGTGCTTTCCTGGTGTCAACAAGAGATAATCAAACACAGTCACCTGTGAATCTTATCAAAGGTTCCCCAAAAATCGCATTCGTTAAGGAGTAAATCTTGGTCAGAGGATTTTTGGTAGCCTTCAAACCCCAAGTACAATTTGCACATACCCGGTACCTTCTTTTGCAAGTATTAGTTAAATGTTGGTTAAAACATTTATAAATCACTGTGATTTCCACCTTTAGGTTGTCTTGTATTGTTAAATACTGGTTAAGCATCCGAGAACATAACAAGACATCATATACTAAATGTTGTTATTATTACCAATTTGAAATGGCCAAAAAATGTTACAGTTGCTGGACATATAATGTAAAGGAACTGTTGCTTTTAATTATGTACTCATCATTTATAACATTTCTTCTGTCTATATCAAAGTATATATTCTATGGTTTCAAATTAAGAGACAATATTATTTCCAATGTTGACTAAGATGGAATGATCGTTCTTTTGTTTTTGTGAACTTTTTATTGTATATTAGTCCAACCACCAACAATACTTACTTACATACTTAGAATATAGGAAAAAAGTGCATAAAAGTTTGGGTGAGAAAGTCTGGTGGTGTAAAGGTTAAATACTCATGGTCATTATAGGATGGTTTTCGGCCATTCACAATGATGTAATTAACATTTTGACTGTGAACCCCCCTCCCCCCACGAAGAATCCAATGAGAAGTTTTTGGTTTGTGACAATTTTGCAATTCTCATAGGACAGTTAAAAGTACTGTTCAATTCCCAATATTTGTTTTCACTACATTTTAGGTGCTGTGAAAAAACAAGTTGAGTCATTACAACGTTGTCAGTCGTTGGAAGAAGTGCAGCGTTTGTACGAAACTGGTAACTACCAGGATGTTGTTGATATATTATACCCAACGCTGACACAGACGTCACTCAGTAAGAGCAAACTGAAAGAAGACTCTAGACCGGCCAGGTTGTTGTTACTTATCGAATCACTTCTACACACCAAGAATTATGAGGTATTTCACTTCATATCAGTTGCTTGTTGGGTGTGGCACGCTATAGTTTCATTTCGTAGAACATAATTTATTGAAACACTGGTCAAATATATTATGGCAGTTAACGAATTGTAACTGTCTTCACATTTTTATCAAACATATGTACATGTAATATTATCAAATAAGTGATTTTCCGTTCAACTGCGAGATCTCGTGAGTTGCATGAAAGACATGCGTCGAACGTCTGCTGCAAAAATCGAACGATTTGATTTTGAACTCAAATTTTTTTTATTTCGTAGCTCACATCGACGATCCGATTTTTTACAGAAGTATATTGCTATCGAATACCCTTACCTCATCGAAATTGCCTATCATCAAATGTGTACAGCACATTGAAATATTCCCCAAAATACTTTCAAGTTTGTCGAATCCCACACGATGTTTGACACCACTACGACGCTATGACCTATGTTTGTTCTGTTTTACGTTGATTTCACACATAACGCGTGATTCTCGCAGTGATTGGAAAATGGTCAATTAGAAAGCCAAAATGACAAATTCAATGGGAAAAAGGGCCTCAGCAAACCATGTGTCCATTCCATCATATTACAGCAAATGAATATACTGAAATAGCAGCACAATAAATATATCTTTACTTGCAAAATAGTTGTATATGGTGGGCTTGGAAAAATTTTGCATTTAATTTTATAAGTCAGTTATAAATATCATTTCATTTTATGCAATGGAATTTCTCTCACAATGCTTTACACCTATCATATGTCTCGTAGTACTGTGGTCTATATACACATGGTTTGTTGGTTTGTATTTACACTGTGTTTATATTTGTGTCATGTTTAATCACATGAATTCCCTAAATAATGAAACCAAGAGAATTTACATTGAAAACTTGGATTTTTAACCTGATAAATATGCTAAAATCATCAAAAAGATGAATGTTCTACTTTCAATCTTTTCAGTTTCAAAATTTACCGAGTTCTGAGAATCTCCTGGTACTGAGCAACCCACTTTGCTCCATACCAAACCCTACTAATCATTGTTTTTCAACTGGTTTGTGTTTACAGTTATGTGTTAGTTGTTGTTTACTGGCCCTCAATGAATCTCTACAGCAATTATCTAATGGTAGTACAATGGCAGTCAAAGAGAATTGGTTGACTACGATGACGAAGGTCTTTCAATTCCTCAATAAGTAAGTTACAAATCACATAGAAATGGTGTCGCATAATAATATTCAGTTCAAAAATAAAACAAAATGGACATGAATAATATAAAAAAAAACATGCAAAAGTATGAAATATATTATACTAAAATGTTGCTGGGAACAAATATGGTGTCAATTGGTTAATGGCTATAATATTGTATCTTTCAAGGTGTCTCTCTGTGAAGTTGAGTGTGATCAGTCAGCTGGCAAGGATTAGCGTGATTCAACTCACTAACACTGTAATACGAATTATAGAACTTGCGATGGACTCCATGGATGCTACAGACCAGCCAGTGATAAGTACTGTCTTACCATGGGTTATTCTGTACAGGCTCATTAAACAGTAAGTAGTAAAGGAAACATTATATGATAAGGGGCTGGAACTTGTGGGCTATGTTATGTCAAAGTTGAATGTTACAGTCATGTGAATTGTAAGCTCATGTACATTTCTTAGAATATGCAAATGATTGAACCTCTGAAAAATCTGGTTGTTGTTCATATCCAGCTGTTTTGCTATGACACATTCACAGAAAATTTAAGATTTCACGGTTTAATTAGTAATCTGTGTTTGTATGCAGTGAAGAAGATAGTTTCAAAGCTCAAATACAACACGATGAGCAGAAGGAAATGAAGTTGATGCCATCATCTTTAATGTTGTTATATAGGGCGCATGAATACCTTGGAGGGTGAGTAGTTACTTTTCACTGTGACTGAAGTGGCAGACTGTGTTGCATAAATCATCAATCACCTTGTGCCAGCAGAGTAACTTATGATTGAAAACAGGCATTGTGTCTGACTTGTACCACACTGATAACAGTGACCATATTTTATACATAAGGTTGTCAATCACTGCAAAGGCAGTTTCAGTTTAGTTCTTCTTTAGTAGTTGTAACCTTGTACTACTCTGATATTCCCTCAGAATGTAGGACTGTGTGTTTGGTCATGAGCACTTAACCTAATAAATTGGGAGGAAAATGTTATCACTGTTTTTGTTTTCAAAAGGTATTACAGCTTTCCCATGATGCAATGTGTGAATGAATGAATTAAACTTTTCTGCATGTGTTATTGTGTGAGATAATGAGTATATTGCATGTACATTTTATAATGAGAGAATCCATTTCAGACTGCACATACATACCTTATTATGTGTACCAGCAGATCAATCAAGTCTTGAATGTTACAAACATTTAATTTTCTGTTCAAATAGCCGCGGATGGTGTTGTAATTCAGACGGATACCTGTTGACATTCTATGTTGATGTATTGCAAGAAGAATTGAAAAACCGAGAAGACGCTCTGAGACAGGATATGTGTCTAGCTTTAGAACAATGTTTGTATTGTCTGTATGGTCACCCTAATAAAAAAGCTAAGGCCAGACATTTACAAGACCATGGAGTGGAGGAGGTTGGTGTTATCATCATTTTTGTAGTTTTGTATTCATGGATTGAAAAAATATGAAATTTGTGCACAATAAACTCAAAAAAAGGTTGTCTCTATAATATAATATAATGTAATGTAATGTAATGTAATGTAATGTAAATTTTATTTTCCATAATTAATATGAAAGCACATAATTGGGTGGAGGGGGGAGGT